TTATGTTGTTGTTGTTATGTGCCGTCGAGTCTCCTGCGACTCATAGCGACCCTATGTACAACAGCCCTAAACTACACTCTGTCCTGTGCCAATCGCACTGTCTCTGACACTCCCATCCCAATTATCCCAGTCACTGAATCAATCCACCTCGGGATATATTAGATGGAGGGTAGAAAAAGTAGCTCTGTAAAAACTAACTGCTGGTTTCTGTGATGGGCTGAGGTGTTTATTATGGAATGCCACCCCTTCAGGGTCGACTGTCCATGGAGCCATGAAAGCCAGCGGAGAAAATGGAAGAAGGTGGTTCTTAGAGACACAGGAGGGGACATCAACTCAACTGCACTTTAATAGCCAGGGCACAGCCTCGCGCGGGCCCCCGATCCTTCCCCGAAGCCCCCTCTTCTGTAAAACATCGGCTCTAGAGAGTTGTTTAAGGAGTTAAGGAAGGATTAGAACAAATGAAAGCGAACCAAGCAAAGTAAGACCCCTGAGGCACCACACAAGCTTTTGACAAATGTCAGGTGGAACTTTGTTATGAAGACAGCGAGTATAAAGCTTAAGAGAAGTTTGTATCGTGTTATCAGGCCTTTGATACAAATGCTTCTTACAAATAATGTGTGACATTCTCATTACTGACCATTCTTAAAAACATCCTCAAGAACGTTTGTTAGTTTACCAGCACACAACCACGTCACTGTCCAAGCTGTGCCAACTGATGGTGGCCCTCCCTGCTTGTCAGAGCACAAGGTGCGCCATAGGGAATAAAATGCCACTCCTTTCTTTGGAGGCACCTCGGGGTGAGCCTGAACTACCAACCTTTCTGTCTGCAGCCAAGTGCATTAACCACATGTGCAGTTCCCACGGACTCCATGTTTCTAGGCAACCTTGTAAAACTACCTTGCTACTGAATGCCCCTAAAGGAATAGAGCTGCATTTTTCATACAATTAAAAAAAAACAACCCCACAACATTTTTTAGTTACTTCACAACATCCTCCAATTCAGATTCACTTTCCCTTCATTCCATCAAAATAATGAAGATTACACTTATTTTTCTCTTGTCTACTACCCATGCATTTTGAGCTGTGGTGTTGGAGAAGAACACTGTACGTCCCATGGACGGCCAAGAGAATGAACAGGTAAGTCTTGGAGAGGGTGCAGCCAGAGTGCTCACTGAAGGCAGGAATGATGAGACTTTGCCTCATGTACTTTAGGCATGTTGCTAGCAAGGGTTATTCCTTGGAGAGGGACAAGATGCTGAGAAGGGTGGAGGGTCGGTGAAGGAGAGGAAGACCCTCAACCAGGTGGATTCACACGGTGACTGCCGCAACGAGCTCTCGTGTGTCACGAAGTGTGAGGATGGTACAGGATAGAACAGGGTTCAGATATTTTGTTCACAGGGTCACTATGAGTCGTACTCGACTCAATGGCACCTAACACCACCACCACCACCACCACCACCACCACCACCACCACACATGCATTTAGTTCTAAGAAAAAGTATTTACTTGCCTAAGAGTTTCAAACATGCCTGGTGGGGCAGTGACATGAACATTAATAGCAATGTCTAGAGAGCCATCACCCTCTCTTTTTGATGGAAATTGGGTCCCTGGGTCAGGGTCTTTGCCCCAGGCTTCTCAGAGGGGTATCATGACCAGAGTACACAAAGAAAGGGTGAGCCTCTGTGGACCAGGGACCGAGATACCTGACTACAGTCCCAACTGGTCAATTTATTTACTCTGTGAGCATGGGAAAGCCACTAACAGCCCTGGATGTCTTGTCTGTAGTAGAGATAAAGACCCTTTTGGAGTCTTGATATTTGCTACACACAGGAGTGTTTTGGGGTTTGAGCACCACAGGATGTTTGGAGAAAGCTCATTAAGTCGCATGGGACAGGTGCTGTCACCATGGGCTGTCAGAAGAATGAATGGCAAGAGTGTCACATTTTTCCCTAAACTGCATTGTAGGCGCGTTCTTTCACTTCCCTGGCACTGCATGCTTTTTTGTGTCTTGTACTTTGATGGGTCACATTCTAGAAAAGAACTGAAGTATAAAAGAAAAATAAAAAAGTAACAAATGGAAGAGTTCCGTTTAAAAAATGCAAAGAAATGTGCTTACATATGTATGCAAAACTGGATGACATGAGAAAATCAGGATTGGGAAGGATTTTTTACTTGTGTCTTCCCTCATTGGTTTTGGATGGAGCTCTTTACACTCTCTCCAAAGCACCTACTTAGTGTCAGCAGGCACGGGCTTGGCTGCTAGAGGACAGGGAAAAAGTCAACGAGGGCTCTCCCTGCAAAAGACTGAAGGGAGGCGACATGGGATGAACAGAGAATGGCACAGCTAATCAAATGAACCACAGGTCTTAGATCTCGACAGCAGTACAACAATAAGGCAACACATCTTTGAAAAATTCAGACATCCAATGAAATGCTTTCAACTGCGATTTCCTGGGAATGGAATGGAGTAACTTCTGCTCCTTCTCCTGACTGGCAACTTTCAAAGTTAAGGGCAGTTTGCTTTCTGGTTAATCACATTCACCCTTTCTACTTTTGCGTGACTTTCCAGTGGGGGCTTAAAGGAAGATGTTCCTCTTTTCTAGTTGTAAGAGCCCTTTACATATTGCCAGCAGCTTTCAAATCAGATTAGTGTTCACACTTAAAAGATAATGCATAACAGCAATATAGTTTCAGGTTTTTACTTTGAAATCATATATTTAAAAAAAAACCCCAAAACTCCAACTGCTGAACTTCCAAAGAGATGAATAGTCTCTATTTCCCCCAAAAAGCATTAGCAGTCATTCCAACAAAATGTCCTTTCAGTATCTTACTCAGAAACAGTCTCTCTAATAGGGAATCTGAAGAGGTGAGAGCTATTCACCGTATATGAAAAATCACACCATCACATTGGAAAATATGGCACACGCATGCACAAACATTAATTACCTGTGTCCTTTTCGGCTGGTCCTACAACATAAGAAAAAATAAATTTAGGAGATAAAGCAAACCCTCTTGTTCACATATGTAAGAAGGCTCATGAAGGAAAACATAAAGTAGGCTGCCATTTACTTCTCACTTAAGTTTGCTTTCTTCTTTGTCTGCACCAGGGCACAAAGCAAAAAGCACTTTATCTTTTAAAGGAAAGATAGATAATGAAAGCATAAACCATTTTCTTATCTCATGAGCAAGTAGTGTTTCCCCAAAAAGAGCTGGCTTACAAGCCATCCGTGGAACATTCCCGTCTTTGGTGGGGAGGAAAAGGATGCAGTTTGCCTGCTCGTTTTCCATCTGGTCCTACTATAGGTTCCTCTCAAATAAAACTTGTTTCTACAAGTCATCAAGAGGAAGGACTGTGCCTTTCCACACCAGGTACACAGCAGGTTAACCTCGCCACACAATGGAAGGAAGCCCAGACGGCTGTATGCAAACACAAACACATATCTAATACAATCTTTTCTTTACCCATATTAAAAATGGACTCTTAAGATTAAAAAGACAGAGATTAACAAAGAAATACACCACTTCTTTTCCAGTATTCTTAGAAAAAGTAATGATTAGAAATGTTAACTAAAATGGTTTAGAACAAAAGAACACCTACAGGGTTTTTTTTTGTTTTTTGGGTTTTTTTTTTAAATAGGGTTCATGACACCTGTATAGAACAAGATTATTGTGGGTTGGAGAGATCATAGACTTTTTTCCCTTCCTTTCAAATTTGAAAGATCTAATGTTATCTATTTTAGTAACAATTTATTAAATCTGTGTTCAGAAAACCCAATACTTCCCAAAATAAGTAAATTATCTGGATAAGGACTCAAAATGTGAAAACCAAGCTGTTTATCTCCCACTTTGGCCAAACGGTCTAATTTTTGTCGCTTTTGCTTTAACACAACATGATATCATAATTAATGATGTTAAACTGGTAACTAAGGAGGTTTCATGTTGTTAGTGTGTGATATAATATTGGTTGCTATGGTGATGAGATGGCTTTTTTGTTAATCACTCAGGAGGCTGGTTATCTGGGGCTTGTTAGAAAGCTTGACCAGATTTGGAGTGAGAAAAGAAAGGATAACACAGTCAATTAGACTCAACTTTCCCCAGTATTCAAATTTTATAGCATTATCTTCATGTCAACCAATATATACTTTAATAATTCACAAGGTATGCATTTCATAATAAAAATTGCTAATTCTTTTTCCAATGGATGATTTCATTTTCTTTTTAGATATATCTAACATTAATCACAAACTTTCGCTGTCACTGAAGTGAATGCCAGATATACTGCATGCGTCAGCTGCATGAAACAGAGGGTGAAGCTTAGGAAACCTGTTTTTATCAATTACCTCAAAAGAACTGCTGAATAAAAGCTGACTTTATGACTTTGTCCCAAATTTTAATCTATTTACTCTTAAACATCTTAAATACCGTTACCCTTAATGACTAAAAGCTGGGATTGAAGGGGGAAAAATGCACAGTCCTCTCAAGAGAGCTAATCTTTTGAACGCATCAATGTATCACAAGCAATTAAAAGCTGCAGGAAGTTCGATCAGTTTATTTCGGCCCAGGCAGTAATCAACAAGTCTCCTCTTTCTGAGAGACAGGACAGAAGAGCAAAGAAAATTACGTCATACTGCAGGGCTTCTGATCAGGAAAGAGTCTACACTGCCCCTGGTTTCAACATTACACATACTTACAGTAATGTCAAAAACTACAACCCATGAGCACACCTTTTTGGCATCCTGAAAACGCAAAATAAGAACAAAGGACAACTTAGGCACGGAGCCTGGGTCTCTCATTCAAGGCGAGTCCCAGGAGGCATATTAAAGCAATGAATAGGAAAAAGCTCTGCAGTTCACCAGCTGAGATTTTAATGAGACATTTCCCTTTGCCACGGAGGCACAGGTTTGTTCAGGAGAGGGAAGGACTTTGCCCAGAAAACCCAGTTAATAGGCCCGACTGGCTCTCGCCGCCCCTGCCCCTTCGGAACTGCGCGCTGCACTGACCTTCTATCTGGGCATATTCTGTGAGCCTGGTGTAATTGATTAGGGCGGCCTTCTCCAGGCATTTTCGGACCACTTGCTTCACCTCTTCTGCTGGCACAGGTGTGGCAATGTCTTTCATCAAAACCTACCGAATTACAAGAACAAGAGAAATGCCGTCAAATCAGTACTTACCACAAATGAGACAAACTGTGTGGGACCTTAACTAGTATTGGGAAGGGGCCCTTCACAACTGGGGAGCTAATCCTCCACTCCAGGCTCCACTTGCCTCTGCCTCATTTGTGCACATCAAAACGTCCCCTAGGCCAAGCCACCATTCACAGTGACTGTCACTTTTCCTCCAGGGACCCATGGCACCATTAAAGCAGCTGTTTCAGATCAGGATTACAGTCCTTGGGACAAGTGATAAACACAGTTTGTCCTGTATGCCCCTAAGTTAAAAGCCTTACCTCTTTATTTTAAGCAAGATATTTGAAAACAATGATCAAAATCATATTAAGAATCAGCCTCAGTTTTGAGCTTAAAAACAATCAGGAATTTTTCTCTCATCAGTTTCACTTTAGTGACTGTGATCTGTTGAAAAACACTGTGGCATATAAAAAAGAGGCAAGAAAACATTGTCATCTGAGAGAAAGGAGTGCTTATGGACTCGCAAATGTTAAAACACACAGAAACCTAATGAGAATGAAAAATGAAACTCCTCAGTGTCTGGCAAAGATAACATAAATGATATTCAGGATGCTCTTATGTTAAGCATGTCCATAATGACTCTGAGAATTTCCCTTAAAAGTTTCTTAGTGATAAAACCGCCAACAATAAGTGCGGGTCCAGGTGAGGCAACACCCTTCATTAAAACCTTCCAAATTAAAAAGACACAAGAACTGCTACGAAATAAATCCTTCCCCCAAATGATACAAACTGCTCCATGTAGGAGACAAGCAAGCAAACTGTCCATTATTCAAACGGCGCTTCTCCACAGACGCCATACACTTTTTCTTCCTTTGCTTTCATTTAAATGACAACAAAGAGGCGGTTACTACAGACCAGACAATGCTTTTGTAAGGGCTTTTACTATCAGGTTTTTTTTACACTATCAGCTTTTTATTTCTGGAGGGATAGCAAAAAAAACCCACCACCAACAACAAAAAAAACCCAAAAAAACACACCACCCCAAACACCAAAAAAACAGAAAACAAAACAAAACAAACCACAAAAGCATCCATTCCGTGCTTCATGATTTCATTCTGTACACAGCCAAGTTCAGCCTGAAGAATTTTCTATTATTGATTTAAACAAGCATCAGCAATCCTTGCCAACATTTAAATTTTGCTAGACACGGCTTCCTTTTTAAAAAATTTTTTTTTAAAAACCCCAAAACCAAAAAACAAACCCGAAACCAAAACATAACAAGAAACCACAGAACTCTTCACCATTTTACAGATTTCCTTTTGTTTCAGATTCTATTACTCTCTTCTCATCTTCGTGTTAAAAAATACTTTAACACTCTGCTATACATTTGGCACTTCAATAGATGTGTACATCAGACCTTTTATAGCTAGAAAAATTCTTAAGTTCAGAGTAGAAAGCACATGTATGTGTGTATGTATATATATATGTATATATGCATTAGAAATGGACTTTGCATTTCAGTATGATTATTACAGAAATATAAATTTAAGCTGGATACTATTCCATCTGCAAGACCATGAACTTTACTAATAGACTTCTCCCAGGTAGCAAACATCTAAATAAAAGAAACAGCCATTAATATTAGCCGGTGTAAGTCTGACCCAGAGGTGAGTCCGGGTTTGTATCGGGCAGTTATTTCATCTTTTCTAGGAGCTGGGGCCTTAATTTGGAGTGGGCGAGTTTGGAGCCTCTTTCTTTGCAAACGCAGAAAGCTGTTGGCCAAGTGCAAATGGCAGGTAAAACCTGCCTCACGCCTCCCTCTATCCACCCTGCGTCCTTACACAGCAGCACAGGCACTAGCAATGGTGCCCGCGCAGATCTCATTTCATTTCCCAAGATGTCAGCAAGTGAAGAGAAAGACAGCAGAAGAAATGGCCCGTAGCATTTCTCAGTTCAGGAGGAGACGTGATTAGTGGCTAAAGGTGGGACCGAGGGCACCGTTCACTCTGCCAGATGTCAGCGCAGGGCACGCGGGCATCTCGGTGCTTGCTGCCTCTGCCCTCTGGAAGCAGGCCCAGAGCCAGGCAGCACCAAGAGGCATCAAAAAGGAAAGCAATCCAGCAGAATGTTAGGCCATCCATGGTCCCTTAAAGAATGAGGACTGGGGGGGGGGGTGCAGAGATGAGCATTTGGAAAAGCTGCCATTATATATGGCTTTTCATATTATATTCAAATGAAACAGAGAATTACTAAAACAATATTTCTATCCTAGAACACCTGGCAATCCAGACGGAGAGAGGAAAGGATATACAGACAGAATATAGATGTGATCCAATGATCTCATCTTAGTCACTAGTTTCAGCTCTCATGTTGAGTCTTTACTTCTTGGAACTAGAGATGGAAGGTAGGAGCACTGTTTCTCCTTTTAACAGAGGTGTTAATAAATAAGGGAACTGATGATCTAGTGGTAAGAAGCTGCACTGCAATCCCACAGGCATGTGGTTCAAAGCCACCAGCTGCTCTGTGAGAGGACGGGCAATTTCCTCCCATGCAATTGACTGTCTCCAAAAAGCGAGAGGGTCAGCTATGGGTTGGTTCTACCTTGACAGAACAACCATAAACAATAACAAACAAACAAACAAACAAACAAATGCAAGCTCTAAAATGTGGCAAAAAGATTTGAAGTCAGTAAATCAAGGCTCGGACAAGCAAAATGACTTGTAAATAGTCTCTCGAAATGATTTTGCTTTTGATAAGGAACTGAGGATGTTACCTCTGGTGGCCTAGTGGTAAAAAGTCTGTGCTACAGTCCTGAAAGCATGAGGTTCAAATCCCCCAGCTGCTCCACAGAAGGATGATTACAGCTCCATCTCAGTGGCACACAGCAACAGTAGAGGTAGTGCACATCACTTAACCATCAGCATTCATTTAGCAAATGGATTTTAGCAATAACATGTGTTGCACGAATCAGTTATAAAGCATATTCAGAGGAAATCTTCCACTTCTACTCATTTGCCACATAAAAGAGGACTAGAGAATATATCTGAGTATAAGGATCCAAGAGCGGGAGAAGGCGGAAGCAGAGGGATGAGGAGGTGCAGGGGGAGGGGGGATTAATCATGGAGTTGTACAATTTGATGGGTGGGGAGTGAGGGAAATTGGAAGAATCTGTTCTGGAAAACAATGACTCTGAATTTTATAAATAAACTAGTATAGTTAAAAAAAGAGCTTCTTAATTGACATGGATAGGAAATCTTGTTTGCTCTTTGTATTCTGGGGAAAGTGAGTTTCCACAACTCATTATTTCATTGAATGCAGGACACATTTTGGAGCAACTGCAGAAAGTTTGGAGATAAATTTTGAGAGGCATCCTCTGCTGATGAATATTAAATGACAACCTCTTGTAGGTATGAGGGATGAATGAGAGAGGTGGGAGAAAAATAAAGTCAGGGAGGGTTAATGAGACAACTGTGACATGTGAAATGCAGGTAATTATGCTTTTCTGAAAATAAAAACCAACCAATTTTTTTCTTTTCATTTTATGACAGGAACAAAGAGGAAAATAAACATAGATACTATGGGAAGGAGGCCAAGATCTCAGGCTGGAGTGATGACAGAGGCTGAAGAAAATGGGGAGGGAAGCATCTGAAAAAAGGAGAGGGTGATTATGTTGAGACCAGGTGAAGGACTGGATGAGGTTGGATGACCTCCACGGAGGGTCCACACTGGTGCGGAATGGATCATCTGCTCGGTCCATGAACTAAATATGCAGCAATTTAGTTTATGCCCAGAAAACAGTATTTATAAAGTATGGCTCGAGTGCAACAATGAATGAATGGAAATACAAAGTATCTGTACATTTTCACTGAAATTAATAATAAAAATATTTAAAAAAAATAAAGTATGGTTCAAACATACCCTTTCAAGTAACGAAAGTGTAGCTTTTAGAGCACCTTCAGGTCGTCCGAAGGGAAAACAGTATCTTCAAAAACAAAAGAAAAGAAGTCAGCGTAATATTCGAGACTGCAAAATCATTTCCTCTTATATATCTTTTATTACTTGGAATTATTGAAGAATATCAACAAAAGAGGCTGAAATAATGTCAACTTAGAAAAAATCTTATCGACTTTTTCATCACCTATCCCTCTGATTGACATGTATGGAACAAAAAGTATTTATTCTAAGTCTTTGAAGATGTGAACCCTGAAAGAACACCATCAATTAGAGGCTCCAAGTTACATCTAAGTAGGATATCAAACTCATTTCCTAATATTTTCTTATGTTATTCAAGTTCTCAGATTAAAAAAAAAATATTTCCCTCTGGAGGTGGAAGCTCAACTCAGAAATTCCTAAGTCAGGACATTTCCTGAAGCCAGAACTCAGAAAATCTTGTGCCAAGACATGTCCTGAAACCAGAACTCAGAAATTCCCATATCAGGGCTTTTCCCCAAACCAGAAAACCCCAGAAACTTTATGCACCAATGAGCTACTGCAACGTCAACTCATCTCAACTGCCTAAAACACACTTGCTAAAACCCTATCTAAGCCCTCCCAAGCCCAACCCCCCGTGCTACTCCGGTTGTTGAGTAGATGGCATGGAATAAACTTGGAGAAATGTTTTTACTTCAGCATGGTTCTTGGCTTCGATCCAAAACCTTTAAGAAACATGCTTGCTACAAATGAAACTTGTAGGACAAGGAATTCCCAGCTTCCCTCTTTCTCGCCATTTGTTTGTCTTCTCTGTTGTCTAGCTCTTCGGCTTCCACGCTCAACACATTAAACATTAAATCCTCTGAGGTCTTTTGTCAGTCATTTGCTCGACATGTTTGTAATCTCATGCATTCTCCCCCCTCTCCCCTGTATTATTTTTATTTTACTTTTAAAAAATTTTGGTGCAACCACTATGGAAGGTAGTATGGCGCTTTCTCAAAATGTTGGAAATAGAAATATCATTTGAGGCAGCAATTCCACTACTGGGAACTACTCTAAAGAAACCATAACCACCACCCTAGCAGATGTATGAACACCCATGTTTATTGTGGCTTTGTTCACAATAGCAAAAAGCTGTAAACAACTCAAGTGTCCATCAACAAATGAATTGCTAGAGAAGCTGTGGTATTTTCACACAATGGAATACTATGCTGCATTGAAAAAACAAGGAACTCATGAAATATTATGCGAAATGGGTGACCCTGGAGGACATCGTGCAGAGTGAAATATCTCAGTCATAAAAGAAAAATATTGCCAAGTGCCGCTGTTATAAAGCAATCTGACATTGGAATTGGGGTAAACTAAAAGGGGATAAATAGTGTATATTGCATTGAAACAGATGGAGAGAACTGTTTAGGAGGAATATATGGTTAGGTATTATTCTCATGACAAGAGTCCAGAATGAAAGCTGCATAGTGGAGTGGACTGGGCGGTGGG